TTGGGATTCTTTGCAATTTTGTTGTTCAATCTGTGAATTCTTTTGTGTAGCTTTTGGATATTCGTCTCTGTAGAAGAGTTGAGTTTGGTAGCTTTTGCTATTGATTGTATAGTGCATTTGTGTAAGTCCCAATTTGTGGTGTCTTGTATATTTTGTAGCTCCTCCAGGATATCGTTTTTAAATTCTGGTATACTCCAGTATTTTTTATCGAATTTCCTAGTTAATTTGGAAGAATGTTTAAACTTTAGGTTAAGCTCGCACTCTACCAGTAAGTGATCAGAATTGCCAAAACGAGTATATGTGTTTGTGCAAAGATGGCTGTAACTTGCTTCTATGAAGATATAGTTCAAGTGTGTTGCCATTCTTTGATTGCCTTGTGTGGTTTGATAGAAAGTAAGAAATGGAGATTCATTAGAGGTTAGAGCTGTGTCAGTGTAGTCATCCAATAGATTATTTAACAGAGCTCTGAAATGGTCATGTTGTATTGGTGCTTGGCTTATTCTGTTTTTTTCAGGACACAAATTAACATTAAAGTCTCCTGCAATTATACAGATCTTATCAAGTGAGGTTTCTGGTGACCATTTTTTAAAGAAGGTGATTCTGTCTTCTGATTTTGGAGGAGCATATACATTTGTAAACGAAAATGTTTGCTGTTGGATTGTTGCTATAGCCATCGTAATTCTTCCATCTTGTAGTTCTTTCTTATTCATGAGTTTAATATCTTTTTTCCCTGCTAGAATTGCGGTTTTGGAAGACTATAAAGAGTCAAAACCCCAAGTCTGGGCCAAGAATTTTCTGGAAGCTAGTTCTCTTAAGTTGGTTTCTTAAATCATAATTATATCTAAGTTGTAAGATTTCAGTAATATGAGTGTTTTTAAAGCTTTAGGTCTGTTGTTTAGACCCTTAACATTCAGTGTAGCGATTTTAAACATAAAGTATAATAAGTAGTTAAGGCTACACCAAGAAGGTTTGTTCTTAGTGTTGGGTTCTAGATCCCAGAAAGTTCTGATAGGAGCTTCAGAAGTTCCATATAGTTGGTATGCTAAAGATTGGTCTTTTCTCTTTGTGAACTTTTCTTTTTGTTTCTTAGATGTTACTACGATAAATGGTGCATCCTCAGAATCATAGGAACTTTGTACAGAGTTTTCTGCAGTTTCTGGTAATACAGATTCCACTACGCAGGTTGTTGTATTTAATAAAAAACTTGAGGTGGTTGAGTCGAGATCCATATTGCTTAGCACTTTTTCAGTTGTAGTTGTGTTTTGTTCTGGAGATGTAGTTGTTTCTGTTACATCCTGTGTATCTTCAACCATATTATTGTTATATGGGTTGTCAGGACTAAAGCTGGTTTCTGGTACAAGAGCTTTTTGTGTTTTTTCTTTGTCCAATTTTGCTTTTGCTTCTCTCAAAATATGTCTGGTTTCGATTGAATCTTTCAGATCTTTGCAATCTTTTTTAATATGTCCTTCTTTTTCACAATAAAAGCATATTTTTGGAGCTTCTTTCCATTCTGTAATCACCTTATGATTACCGATGTGGGTGCTTCTTGGAATTCTTGATGTTAGATCTGGGTCATTTGTAGTTTCAAAAGAAACTAACCATTGGTCTGAACAGACATTGGTGCCTTTATAAAGAAGGAGTTTGATAGATGTAATCTGTCCAACATCTCGAAAAGCATCTAAAATGTGTATGCTGATGTGGTTTGAGTCTCCCATTGGTATATTTTTGAGCTTTATAGTAAGGAAAGAATGGTTGAGATTGACTGGAATATATCTGAAGAACGTTTGTTTGAAGAGTGAGATACCCTTTGCTGCATAGAGCTGGACTCTCTCTTGGTCTTTAAGAATTATCTCTAAAGAGGTTCATTTTCCTTTTGACATGTGAGTTTTGGCTGCTATAAGATCGTCCTTGAGGTTGATGGCTAAGGCAGCAATAATGTCATTAGTTGCAATATTGTTGAGGCTTTGTATGTCAATTACTAATGCGTTTTCATTCTTGGAGTAGATTCTTTGGCTAAGAGTAGAGTTTGTATATACTGCTTTACCTTCTTTGAGTTTGACAAAGAGGTCTGACCATTGTTTAGGCTTGTTGTTGTTAGTTGGAGTTGCTTCTGTTTCAGTTGTTGCATCAGGTGAAGCCGATCCTTCAGGAGTAGAGGTGGTAGTAGCCTTTGATTGGTTGTTTAGAGCCACGTGTTTGTCTTTTTGTTTATTGTTTATATCTATAATGTGATTTGTTTTGTTTAGAAAAACAGTACGTGTTTCTTGTTGATCAGGAGCATTTTCGTTATCACTCTTTTGTATTCTGCTTGTTTCCTCTGCTTCTGCCTGACTGGCCCAACTTGTACTAGGTTTATTATTATCTGTATTGTTTAAAGCTATTGTATCTGGCCCAAGAATATTGTTGTTGTTATTGTCTACAATTGCCTCGTTGCTTCTTTTGTTGTTTTCTTTGTTTTCGTCACTTTTGGTAAAGTTGAAAACTTTATCGTTTTTAGGAAGAAGTCTAGCTTTTTGTTGTTTGGTTGTTTGCCCATATTTAAAGTGATATGTTTGTGCTTTCTGAACCTCAAGGTCCTTGTTTCGTTAGAAGAAAAAAAGATAAAAAAGGAGTTTTGTAATAAAATCTTGATTTGTGTATATTTTCCAGAGGTGAACTGGAAAGAGTTTTTTGAAATCCTATCTTTAAAGATTTTTCAAAAACCACCAGGCCAATTTTAATGTTCTTTCATTATTAAATGCATTTTGATGAGCTCTACAACTTTTGTTATAAACTTAAGAGTGTTTTACTTAGTAAAAAAAAGTTTTAGATAGAAGTGCTGCACATTCGAGCTTATAGTAAAATTTATATATAAAAAAAAAATATTTGTTTAGATGATTTGCGATTTGCCTATTAAATAAATAATTAGCTAGTTCATTTAATTCAATTCAAATAATTTAAAAGTTTAAAAGTCGTATAATATATATTTTATATAGTAATAAACTTAAAATATAAATTAAGTCAAAATAGTGAAAATAAATACTTGATAGTTAGGATTCTGTATGCATAATGTAAAAAGCCATAGTGCCTGGGCTTGCAGAACCCTATTGATAGTTTTCAATATACAGATAAAGAAAATTTTTATAAGTCTTTAAGAACAAATTTTCGTGAATTTACTTAAAAAATTAAAATAAACCTACTTTTCAATATCTCAGATGTTTTATATGAAATTCATCGAGCAGAATATATTTATACAGATTTTTACAGTAGCAATATTTTGCAAATAAAGGTAATAGTAAAAATATGTGATCTTGAATCTGGTTGCAACCTAATATTAACATTAGAAAAAAGACTGTTTTGAAGAATATCTTCACAACCACCAGTTCAATCAAGTTAAAACTACCACCATTTGAATCTGCTCATCGAGATGAACCTTAAGGTAGTGAGATCATTCAAATCTAATCACAGAGAGCTGAGATATTATTAAAAATGTGATTTAACCAAGTGATTTATATATAGATCATATGTATCACAATCTGATTGGCTGATGATCTACTGTGCAAAATGTTCTACATATAGCATATCTATTACATGTCATTTTTGTAGCATCTATATTATTTATTTTATATATTATATATATATTATTTGTATTATATATAGTATCTGTATTATATATATTATATATCTTATTAGTACTATTTGTAATATTTATAACATAGATACTAGATATAGACCATTACATTTTTAAAAAATTGAAAAATATAAAAGCAGCAGATGTGGACCTTGAGTTCAACATTGTGTCTTCATATACTTTCAACAATAAAATACATTTTGTATACCAAATTCTGAACAGTTATTAGTATCTTCATATACTTTTAATTGTTGGCTCTTTCATAATTGCAAATTGCCTTAAATCTTCTTTGTTAAGTTTTGTAAAAATGCCATACCAACTTAGCCAAAATACAGTAACTAGTTTGGGTTACACAAAGTATTCAATAGCTACAGTTGCTCTAGTTACCTATTATCTTTAAAGAAGTGGATATAGGATAACAAATTGGTGGTGACTGTGAGACACAGACTTTACCTGTGAAATTTTGTGAAGAAATGTCCAAGTCGTAGAACGATTAGTACTAATTGAAGTCGATCAATTTTGCTCCGTTTGAGCTGAAATTTTAAGAGTACATCCGTTGAAACCTTCTGCAACTTTTGTTCTAAGCTTATCATAAGACGAAAACGCCACTGGAACCCATAAAACGTGTTGACGGCATTTTTCTTCTTTAAAGATCTGCAAAGAAAAGGAACATTTGGAAACGTTTGGTACTAAGTGAAGTCAACGAATTTTGCTCAGTTTGAGCTGAAATTTTAAACATAACCTCTTGATGCCCTTGCGCAACCTTTCTACTAAGTATATCTTAGTGAGAAAACGTAACCCCGATCCGCAATAAGCATTGGAAACCTAGACGAAAATTTTTATTCTTAATTTTTATCTGTATAATGAATTTTTAACTATTCAAACATTATGTCAAAATGAATTTTTATAGTCAAAATCAAACACCTACCATTAGGCAAGCCAGACCATGCCAACCTTTGAAGAAAAGCACTCAATATCGAATGAAAAAGACCTTATCACAACAAGTCCAAGAAAAATTATAGAATTATAGAAAAATATATTGGTGCACTTATTGTAATATAACAGGACATATAAGTAGTAAATGCCCTAAAATAGAAGAATTAGATAAAAAATGTGTTGCTCTAACCAAGACTTTTACTAATGAACAAACCACTGAATTTCAACAACTCATTAATGAAGCCTTTGAAAATAATTATATTGATGATGAACAACTTCCTCAGACTCTAGAAGTAGTACTTGAGATATTAGAGGATTTAATAGATAGAGGAAGGCCGATGAAAACTAGTGATGAAGATATAACCATTGTATACTTACCTTCTTACATTCAAGTAGCTCCAATTACAAAAAAGAAAAATTCATCTCTTGCATCTTTAGAAGTTTCAAATCTAGAAGATCCTTTGCCATTACCTTAAAACAAGAAAGAATCCACCTCTAAGAATTTTGATTCTTATTATATTCCTAATGAATCTGTAAACAGATCTTTTGAAAATACAGAGTTTGATTTTAAGAAAGAAAACTTAGATCTGGAACCTCTTCTCCAAGAGCCAATTGATCAGTACAAGGCCATTATTCAGAGATGTATCTATAAGAAGAAAAATAATGATCTTTGTTTAAACTGGATAAGAGAGTTTGAATATGATAATGATATAGAGGATGGAATCAATAAAGATGATGATGATGATAATAACAAGCTTGATGATATAAAGAATAAGATTTCAGAGCAAGAAGCTGATGAAGAAATTAAGCCTTGCAATAAAAATGAGATTGGATTTGAAATGAATGAATATTATTTCAGTAAAGATGAAGTCATCAAAAATAAAGATTAAGACAAAATAATCAAGGAAGAAAGATGTATCAGCATCATAGAAAAAGTAGAAAAATTCATCAACAAAGTGAAGCAGACATTAAAAGAAAGTAAAGTCAAGATACAAATACCAACTAATATCAAAGAACTCTTGGACACCATGTGTAATTCCTGGAAGAAGAAAGTTGAAAAATTTATGGATGAATTCAAACCAAGTAAAAGAAATAATCATAAAATATTAGAATGATCTCAGAATTCTGCTAAAGATATTAATTCAGACAGACAAGATAATCATGAAAAGTGCTATCAAAGAAATATAAGTACCTTCAAAGATAAAAAAAAGGCTAATGAATAGAGATTAGAACTTGCACAAGAGCCTCAAAATTCAAATGAAATGAACAATATTGAAACAAGAGTAATTATATTAGAATCTGAAAATAATAAGAAGCTGTGATTAAAGATACTAGTTAGAAGAACAACTATAATTGAGACCAAAGTATATAGAACCTTCAGATGCCTACATTTACAACAACCAACAAGATGTATATTTGATTCTGGAGGAACAATTTTGTTAGAAAATTATGATGTGTTATCTATTTTACTAATTCTAGTATTTTATTAGAAAAATCTGTAAGACATGTATATAGTCTAGTACTTGTGGGTTTAATGAGTACTGTGCAAGAAATTTGAACTATTTGGATAGAGTATATATCTTCATATCACTATACTTATTCTTATAACAATCAATTAGGTCAAATGACTTTCATCTTTTTAAATTTGATGTTAAAGAAAATTCAGACTAGATTGTCAGTGTCCTAGTATATAGGTTGAAAATCTTTACAAATAACTCAAGAGCATAGCAAACACAATTCTTAGAAAATAATGAAAACAAGAGAAAAGATAACAAATCAATTTGGACACATACAAAAATTTATTTAGATTAAACAATTATAATTTTATTTACAAAAAAAATTATTACATTGGAACTGGAATATCATCGATCAAATCACGCAAAGTCTCCACCTCAGCCCTTAAATTATTCCTCTCCCTCACCAACAATGCATAATCTCTATTCCTCTGTTGATTTGCCTGGTTAATCTCCAAAATCTGCAAATCTCTGTCATTTACTTCTCTCATCAACCGAACCACTTCTCTCGCTATAAAGACTGTATTCCCTCTCAACTCAACTACCTGTACCCTCAATATTCTATAATTATTATTATTACTATTTTATTATTATTCTATTATTATATATTATTATTACCTTTGATTTTTATTCTGAAGCATATCAATTGTTTCGTATAAAACACTTTGGCTATTTCTTCTTTGAGAACGAGTAGTTCGATAATTGCGAGGCATTTTTCTTATTTACTATTATTATTATAATTACAATATTATTATTTTATTCACTTTTATTATTATTATTATCTTACCTTTATTCGTTAAAATTTTCTTGATTAAGTTCTTATTTTTATTTTTTCGTTAAAGTTTTATCCTTGTCCCTTATATTTTACAAACTTTAATTCTTATCTAAATTTAGTGAATAATCACAAATTTCATACTGAAAAAAAGAGGCAAATATTAGAGACACTAATTAATGCATATCCTTTAATGAAATATTATACATGACAATTATAGAACTCAATAGTTCAAATATGAAATAATATTTTATTACAAAAAAAAGAAAGAGAAATGAAAACAAAAAAAAAAAAAAAAGAGACAAGAAGAAAATTTCTACACAATTGTGTTATCTGACCCCTCCTCCACATCTATATACATCTCCTCTACTGCTCTCTCTAATTCAACCCTCCTCCTTTGCTCCAAATTAATCCTTCTTACCTCTCAATACAAAGCTTCTCCTCTGCATTCTCCAACCATGCTGTTATAGAATGAGTTGTAGTATTAGTTTTATTATTAAGTTTATTATTAGTCATTATTAGTTATATTATTATTATTATATTAGTATTATATTATTATCTTGTATTCTATTATTGTATATTGTGAAACCTTAGATATTATTGGTTAGTTGCGCGTAGCATTAGAAACTGATAGAATGGTAACCGTTTCTACTGTTCTTACCGTTCTTACCATTTTTACCATTTTTACTGTTCTTACCATTTTTACCATTTTTATCAATTCTACCATTTCTACTGTTCTTACCGTTTCTACCATTTTTACCATTTCTTATTATTTCTATTAGTTTTAGATAGTTTAGAAAAGATATATAAACCCTGGCTTTTCTACCTTTCTGCCAGTTAGTTCGAATCATCTTTAGATAGACTCAAGTAGATACAGAAACCTTCTTTAGTTATAGGATTCTTTCTTGTAATTAAAGTCTTATATACCGTAAATAAAATATATCTTTAACTATATACTTTCCACGAACTGCCCTTAGTGAAGTAACATTTCACTTCCACACCGCTATAATCTCGCAACGGAGCTCTATAGCTGTGTGCTTTGTTACTTGTGCTATATTAAGAAGGCTACAGTCCACTTGTAACAACATTTTATACTAGTTTAGATATTTAAAAAACTCATATGATTTAATATAGATTTTGTATTCGCTCTTGGGTTTAATTCATAATAAATCTATTTTAAATTATATATATAGTACATTATTAGAATAAGTATTAGTTTTTATATGTTTTTTTGATTTTTTTTTTTTTTCTTAGTACTAACTTTTTTTTGTAGATCTCATTTAGCACTAAGATGAGAATTTGGACTTAAGAAAGTTGGTATATTATATGAACTTTATATTCACTTTCTTTTCTGTATTAACTTTTTTTTTCTTTTTTAATATTATTAAAATATATAATAAAGTTAGCTAATTAGATTTAGATGATAAGTCTTAGAATTTTTTTAATAAATTATTAAAGAATTGTATAATTTGTATTATAAAAAAATATTAAAAGCAAAAGTAATAGTTCAATTCTTGACACTTTAGAATGATATAATATATCTTATATTCAACACTGAAACAGAATTTGGGCTTAAAATTAAGAACTAGTATAACATAGTTATTAGTTTGATGAAGTACAACACAATAATTATATGATACTGACAAACTAACAAACTTATTTATTTATTTTTATTTATTGTATAAATTGTTACTTTATTATTATTATGTATAGATTATTATGTATAATATTGTTAAGATAATATTTAAATATTAAACAAATTTATAACAAGGAGTAATTGTAATAAATTTTAGAAAAAATAGTCTAGAGAATAGATAGTTAGTAGAGTAGTTCTTTTTAGAAATATAAAAAAATGTTCTGTAAAAGACTTGTAAAAGACATCGTCTACTATCTCAAATCCTATTAATATAATAAAAAAGCTTTTTTGTCTTGAATTTTCTTCAAATAAACCTATCTACTTGGTCATTTGTCTTATACTAGTATGCTATAAGATAAGTATTAATTTTCATTCTTTTTTTTGATTTTTTTAATATATCTTTTAGTATTAATTTTTTTCATAGATTTTATATTTAGTACTAGAATTTGGAATTGAGACTAGAAGTTGATGCATTATAAGTATAAACTTTTATTTGGTTTTAGATTTTTCTTTTCTAATATTAACTTTATTTTCTTTTTTGTAGTTCATATATTTAGTACTGAAATAGGATTTAAATATGAGGTTAGGAACTGGTATACCATAAAGTTCAGTATCAGTTTCGATTTGTTTCTTTAATTTTTTTCTTTTTTTGATATTAACATATTTTCTTTTTTGTAAGTTTGGTTTTTAATATCAAAATAAAAGCTTTAAACTTGAGACTATAAACAGATACACTATAAGTATTGGTTTTTATTTGCTTACTTAATTCTTTTCTTTTCTGATACTAACTTTCTTTTCTTTTTTGTAGGTCTTGAATTTAGTACTAAACAGAATTTGGATTTGAGATTAAAAACTAATATGCTACAAGTATTGGTTTCTATTTGCTCTTTTTTTTGGCATTTCTGAACAGAATTTTGAATTTAAGATTAGAAACTAATATATTATAAGTATCAGTTTATATTTGCTCTTTTTTTTAGCATTTTTGAACTAATTTTTTTTTTATAATCTTGTATTTAGCGCCAGAATATAATTTAGGCTTGAAACTGAAAACTAGCTTATTATATAATAAGTACTAGTTTCAATTTATTTTATTTATTTTTTTTCTAAAAAACTAACTTTTTTTTGGTTTTCACTTTTGGTAGTTTTGGATTTAAAATCTTCTAGATTATAATAAAAAGTATATATATATATATATAGGTGATGCTAAAGAAAAAACAGATTTTAATTATATAAAATTTATATGATCGAAGTCTGGTTTTCTCTTAAGGGTAGAGGATACGATTTGTAAATTATATATAAAATCAGTGGTATTTTGTTTTATTTTTTTTAAATTAAACAAAATTTTATTAAGAAAATTAGTTTTATATTTTTAAATAAAATTGTAGAGTATCAAAACAAATATATATTTAACATCTCTGCTAACTCATCAACCAAGTTTTTAGGAAGACCAAAATATACAGAAAATGGAACTACACTAAACCTTTATGCCAACTTGCTAGACCTAATCTACTCTCTGGTACTATGTAATCCAACTATTATACCAATACAACCTAT